CAGGAAGAAGCCATGTAGCTACTGCCAGAGACAGACATGCTGGAACTTTGCCTGGTAAGTCTCAGCCACGTGGCAATACACAGATTAATATAAATGGGTTAATTTAAGATATAAAAGTAAGCCAGAAATATGTTTAAGCTATAGGCCAAACAGTATTGTAAATAATATAGTTTCTGAGTGATTATTTCATGGCCTGGGAAGCCAGGAACAAAGAAGCGACTTCTGCCAACAAGTGATTGTAAGGCAATGAGAATGATTCAGATAAATGATACTAATATGCACAGACAGTAGGAAGACCTTTCTGGGGAGGGGGAACTGTGCATGGTAGAGGAGCCAGTCTTTGTGAGGATGTGGATTGTTCATCTCTGGTCACAGGTGGGAAGATGGAATGTGTAGGAGGAGGAGCCAGATGTGGGTGGGTGGGGAGACATGAGACCTCTATAGAGCTCATGTTGACAGCTATGATTTTATGGCAAAGCCAGGCTATTAACTGAATATGATGAGCATCAGAAAGGAGTTACATCTAGATGAGGAACCAGAATAGGGTAACCCTTTATGATTTTTCCCCACTGTCAGGCAAGCCCTGCAAGGGCATTGTTGTACCCCAGTGGCCTTAATGGTTGGCAGCCAACCTAATATTTAAGAACAGTTTGTACATCTGGACTGTTCCTTCTTGTTGTAAGGATGCTATTAGTTTGTTTCCTGGCTACCTGGCAGCTCAGACCCAAAATAATTACATAGAAACTGTATTAATTAAATCACTGCTTGGCCCATTAGCTCTAGCTTCTTATTGGCTAAATCTTACATCTTAATTTAACCCATCTCTAGTATCTGTGTATTGCCACATGGCTGTTGCTTACTGGGTAAAATTCCTACCATCTGTCTCCAGCCAGGCTACATGGCTTCTCCTCTGACTCTGCCTTCTTCCTTCCAACATTCCATTTAGTTTTTCCTGCCTACCTCTATTCCCTATGCAGGCTCAAGACAGTTTCTTTTTTTTTTCTTTTTCTTTTTTTTTTTTTTAAAGATTTATTTATTTTGTATACAGTGTTCCGCCTGCATCCAGAAGAGGGCACCAGATTTCATTATAGATGGTTCTGCACCACCATGTGGGTGCTGGGAATTGAACTCAGAACCTCTGGAAGAGCAGCCAGTGCTCTTAACCTCTGAGCCATCTCTCCAGCCCCTCAAGACAGTTTCTTTATTAACCAATGCTATTCACATAATGCAGAAGGAAATCCCACATCACCTTTTCTTTTTTATTAAAAGTTAACCCATGGTTACAATGAAATGACAAAGTATTAGTCTGTGGAATTTGCATGTGATAAGGGAGTTTATTTTTAAGTTATATTCTTCTTTCCGTATTCTTCCAAAAATCAAATATCAAATCCATCTTTACATGAGACCTGACTAGAACATGAAACATTAGTAATATTTTAATTTGGCCATAAGAAAATCACTGTGAAAGATATAAGGTTAAAATTGTTTCTAATTAAGGCAGCACAGACACTAGAAGGTAGTGGACACAGGTGTCATTCCATCAGACTGAAAAATAGCAAAAACTCTTGAATTTCCTTGGGAGCCAATCAGTAAGTTCTAGGCCAGATCCTTATGTGAGTTG